GCTCCATCACCGTCTCCATCACCGTCTCCATCGCCGTCTCCATCGCCGTCTCCATCGCCGTCTCCGTCGCCGTCTTCATCGTCGTCTCCGTCGCCGTCTTCATCGCCGGCTCCATCTCCTTCTCCTAGTCCATCTTTCTCTCCGTCGTACTCTCCATCGCCGTCTCCATCGCCGKCTYCATCGCCGTCTCCATCGCCGTCTYCATCGCCGTCTCCATCGCCGTCTYCATCGCCGKCTCCATCACCGTCTCCATCTCCTTCTCCTAGTCCATCTTTMTCTCCGTCGTACTCTCCATCGCCGTCTCCATCGCCGTCACCATCGCCGTCACCATCGCCGTCTCCGTCGCCATCTCCATCTCCGTCTCCATCGCCGTCTTCTTCTCTTTTCTCTTCTGAAAAATGATTCTAATTTGTATAACGTTGTTGACTTAATTTTACCATACTTTTTGTAAAATTTTATTAAGCTTAAATAAATCTACATAATAAAATTTAATAGACTATTCAATTCAATTCGCCGCTCTTTTTTTAAGTATTAACCAATAAAATAGCAGATATTTACTTTCGTATTCTAGCAACAGCAAAAGCGAATTATTCCACTCGTGGTAAAATATAACTGGATATTCTACGTTGCTATGAAAATGAAATCAAGTGTAACGCAAATTTGCCATTTGGCTTATTGAATAGTCAGTTATAATATAACACAACGAGTAGTCAAAAATTGTCGAATATTTTTAAGAATGGTCATCACTTTATAAACACCATGAGTGCGAGTACGAATGATGTTCGCAAGCGTATAATGACCATAAATAATAATATTTTACAATTTTTGACTACGAATTGTATTCAAGAGACTATTCAAAGAACCAAATGACAAATTTGCGTTACACATGATTTCATTGTCATAGTAACGTTGAATATTCAGTTATATTTCACCACGAGTGGAATATTCGCTGGAATTTGCTGTTGCTAGGATACAAAAGTAAACATCTGCTATTTTATGGGTTAGTATTTAAAAAAAGAGATGGGAATTAAATAGTCTGTTTAATAATTGTAGAATATTTTTTTATTCATGGTCATTACGTTGCGATAAAGCGTAAAAATATTCGTAGGTATAACTCAATATTTAATTATTAATGTGTTATTAGAATAAAAATGTTAAATAATTTAAACAAAGCTGATGCATTGACGTACTGTCGATGAACAAATAAAATTGGTATACTTATAATTTAATTAGTTTAGTTAGTTACTCCCTGCGGTACCATACCTCGAAACTTGAAGCTAAATGTATTCAAAGTTGCCTACTTTCAATTTATTATAATAGGGAACTGTATTTTTAAATTACCTATAAAATGTTTTTTTTTTTCAATACAATATACTGTTATCAAAAAAGCTTAATAAACAAGATTTTTACATTTCAATAAAAAAATATCTATTTCTTTAAAGCTGGAATATAATCGAAATCTGTATTTACCTTTAAGGAAACACTACAAACATCAAGAAACTCTTCAACTCTAAATTTGCGAGTAAAAACAGTGAAATAAATGTATGTACGAGTATAATATAGGTACTATAACAAGGAATAACGACATGTTAAACCTTTTTTATTTTGCGGTATGTAACAATATGCGTTTTATTGTAGTGATGTTAGATATAATATGTATTTTTGGTTAAGTATAACACTATCAATATGCAATAAAATATTCGTAGCCTTCATTACATTTTCATTGTGACATTAGGTACAATGGAGAGTATTAAATTTTAGTAGTCAATGTCATTCCCTAATATACCCTCTTGTCAAAATTACACAGGGAAACTACTTTCTTTGACAAACAGATGAAGTTTCAAAATGACATTATCTACCAAAATTTTATGCTCGCCATTGTACTATAAGTAGTGTCAGTATTTCCTAATATCTTAAACAAGTTATTTCAACTCGCTATAAGTTTTTCAGTTTTTGTTGAATATTATCTCTCATATCTGGTTCCGAATTAAAAATTTCAGCAGCTTCCATCAAATAATTTTTTGTTTCTTCTTCAATTTCCTACAAATAGAATACTTTATCTATTTATAATTTTAATATTGTATGTATTACTTTTCCTCTGCGTTCATCTTTGGTCACTAGTGCTTCGAATAAATCGTACAAAAGTAATCCTCGAAACCACGACTGTCCCGGTTCTAAAACCTCAGCAATTTCTAACAATTCTTTACAAAGCTCAATTTTCCGATCAATCAACTTGAGCGACAACTCTAAAAACAAGAAAAGCACATTTTACGTATTCATTCACTTGACTCACCCTCAAGCTTAAATCCATCCAAGTTTCCGTAGATTTGACAAAGTGCGTATTTGACTTGCAAAGAGTAGGAGTTCCTGGGATGCAATACTTCTGCATACCTCTCCAAAAACTCCTCCAAACTCTCTGGATTTTTTTTATCCAAATAAGTTAACTCTTTTTGTAGTACTTCGTTTCCCCAAACCATGTCGCCTCCGGTTATCACAAAACCGCATTTTTCGCAATGCCAGTTAGCCTCAGAGTTTAAAGGGTCACAACTTGTAACTTTACTGCCATCTCCACAAACGTTACAATTAACTGCACTTAAGTAAGTCCCAAATTCCGTCGGATCTGTGCATCTTTCACACAAACAGTCAAAGTGTTTGGCCATTTTCAAGTGACTTCGTCGAGATAAAGTGCCCCAAAGAGTCTGAGTGTAAGTCGTGGTAATCAATTCTCCTTCTTTAATCGACGTTGATGCTGTGAGAACTAAGCGAAAATTATCATTGATAAAGCAATGTTTGGTGTTATGTTTGCAATTATGGGACAAAAACGAAATCAAAGGGTACAATCCCCGAATATTAACCAATCTCTGAGTGTCACGAACCTCAAAACAGTTAGTATCAAAAATCGAACAAATCGTCAAAATTTCACGTTCGTTAGTATCAAGTTTGAGGACTTGGGTGAAAAAAGGGACTAGACTTTTCTTAAGGACTTGATAGATTTGAGTCTTTTCATGTTCTTCAAGGTGCGATTGGAAGTCCAAAAGAAGTTTAAACTCCTCAGGTGAGTTCTGTTTGAGGAGAAGAGCTCGAAGCGGGGCTATTGAACAATAAACCGTCTGTTTGGTATTATCGTTTTTGACGGTGGGTTTATATCCAGCTTTGGCAAAAATCTCACATTCCGCTTGGTGTAGTGGCAAATTTTCGCAAGCTTGGCCACAAAGAGGCCAAAAGCATTTACTACAATCGTACCTCAACTCAGCTAAAGCTAGTTTCTTATGGCAACCGAGACATAACGGCGGACTTGCCATCTTAGGCCCCACAATCAAAGGAAGACTCTCTGTTATAACTTCCCCTGGTTGGATATCTCGAGTCGCCACAATACACCGGCCCAAAACTTCATCTCTTTTCACCATGAATGGTAATTTATTAGCACACACTTGCGACATTTTAAACAATTTTAAATTCAAATTGGTGTCAAACCTTTCGTGCGCACGCTTCCGTTTACGCAATGAGTTATTTTCAGAAGTTGCTGAATGATGCTCTAAGTTACACCTGTATGAGATTTTTGAGCACTAATTACAAGAAAATAACACTAATTTTGTTTTTGCATGACTATTTTTCTGTATCGTTTATCTATCTAAAGCAGTAACAGACCTAATTGTCACGTCTCAACTAATATTGATGTATTTAGACTTTTATAAGTTTTTCTTGTTACGTAAACAAAGTCTGAAATAGTATATTAACGTACAGCTATCAATTTTCAGGCTGTGCGTCACGAATTCCTGAAAATAACTCACTATTAGCATGTTGCAGCAATCTTCCAAAATATTTTTTACGACAAAATAAACAAAAAATTTGTATATTAAAAGTAATGATTTCAGGACATTTTAATATGTAATTGATGTCTGAAAAATCTGAAAATAATTTGGCAATTTTTAAACAACCAACTTTGCAACTGTGTTTAAAGTGTGGCCTAGAGTCAAACTGTTTTTGCGATTTTGAAGCAAAACATGTGGTAAGTAGTCTTCAAACTGAAAAATTAACAATTTTTAAAACTGTTTTAAGGTGTGTCAAACTACTAAACCATATTTGATTAAAACGATAAAAAATGTATCTACTGGAGAAATAATTTTTAATGAATTTCCTCTTATTTTTGGACCTAGGCTTGACTACAAAAGCAACGTAAAACTCTGTATTGGATGTTGCAAGTTGTATATTTTTCCTTAAATATTTTTGATTTGTAATTTTTTGTTTTTAGACATCTTTTTAACGAAAATAAAACTGATTGTCCTAAATGTTCCTTACCTTTCTGTAGTCTTGATTGTGATGGTTTTACCTCGAGACACGATTTTGAATGTAGCATTTTTAAATTAAGACAATTTGATCAAAATTTTAAGTCCGTTCAAACATTTTGCTGTGTTAATCTCTAGTCTAATAATTTTTACAGGTATTGTGCTTTAGTACCCTTAAGAACACTTTTTTTGCAAAATACAAACGTAGTTCAGTGGCAAAAAATATTTGATCAATTTGAAGTAGAGTTGAGTAAAGATTTTATTTTGTAAGAACACATTAAAAAATGAACACAAATAATCTGTTTTATTTCAGAAAAAACAATGATGAAATCGAGCAGTATGTAGAACAAAATTTCTTAATTCCTCTCAGACAACAAGAAAATGAAACGAAACAAATAATTCTTGAAGATAAATCAAAAGAGACTCTTGAAAAAATTATCTATTTCTTACAATCTAACACTCACAACGATAAAGATTTGATATTCTTTTACCCAACTGCAAGTCTTCTAAAACAAAGTTGCACTTCTAATACTACTTTTACTATTGAAAACTCCAAAATAACAGTAAGAGCAATTAGTGACATATCTGAAGATACTCCTTTAACTTGTTCTTATACAAATATCTTTATTGGTACTCATGCCCGTATCGAAGACTTGAAAAAAATTAACAAAACCTGTTTTTGTGCCAGATGTAACGACCCTTCCGAATTTGGTACATTTTTCAGTGCTTTGAAATGTATAGGTACCAAACAAGACTCTTGTGGTGGTAACCAACTTCCGGTGAATCCCACGAATGAAGAAACTTTATGGGTCTGTAATAAGTGCAAAATTGAATTACCTCACAAACAAATAGTCCAATTTGTGAAACACCTCGGAGGGCAACTTGAAAAGACTTTAGCGAAGAAAGTTTCAATTGAAGAACTGGAGGAATTTTTGGGCAAATTGTTAATGTTTTTGCATCCCAACCATTTTTACATTTTTGCGGTCAAAAATATCTTGATTAAATTGTATGGAGAAGAATCTTTAGCTACGAAAATTCAAATTTGTGAAGAATTGATCGAGATTGTTGAAAAATTTGAAGATGGAGGGTTACTTCTTGGGAAATTATTGTACGAATTGTTTGTGTCAAAAGCTTCAATTTTGGTTGAAAATAGAAATGTTGAAGAGTTGACAACAATAATTGAAAAAATGAGAAAAATCGGCCAAGTGCATCAAGACCGGAGTTTTCTTCAAATTTTGCAAGAAGCCGAGTCAAAATTTGATTCTATGTAACCCCACACTAATAAATTTCTTTGCATACATTTGTTTACTATTTTCACCTCCTTTTCTGCTTAATTTTGGCCCCGTTCCCACTAAAACATCACTTTCCCACTTTTTCTATTTTTACTAACTGCAGTGGAGCAGTAGCCGCGTGATCTTCGCCACGTTTCAATGGCCGAAAATAAATGCGCTGAGTGTGATAAACCGGCGGAATTAAAATGTTCCGCTTGTAGATTAGTTTCCTATTGTTGCAAAGATCACCAGAAGAAGCATTGGAAAACGCACAAAACACTATGTCGACCTTTCGAAATCATCTCAACCAAAGAAGCCGGCAAGTGTTTAGTCGCCACACGAGATCTCAGCCCCGGTGACGTCATTATCTCCGAATTGCCTTTGGTGTATGGGCCAAGGCCCCATATGGTCGAAGAGGGGCCAGTACCATGTCCAGGCTGTTGCAAGTAGGTGGGACACATTTGAAAAACTCAAATAATTTTTTTTTAGATTGATTATTTGCGAAAACTCGCCGAGATGTCCTGGGTGTGACTTTCCGGTGTGTCACCCGCATTGTCCAGGATTGAAAGACATGGAAAAACATGGGCATGAATGCTTGATTTTGAGTTTGAGAGAAATCCGAGCTATAAATGGGCTTCACGATTTTTACAGGTATCTAAGTACTGCTTTTTTAGTCAAAAATTTATTAGTAATTGTTTTCAGACAAGACACACTTCTACCACTTCGATGTTTATTACTTCAGAAAAAAAATCCAAAGAAGTTTGCCCAACTGATGGAAATGGAATCACATTTTGCTAAGCGAGGACCGGATTCTGAAATTTATAAACAAGTCCAAGAACGAACTTTTGACTATTTAGATGATGCTTTCTTTACTCCTCTTAAGGTCCTTCAAACTAGAACCGGGAAGGAAGTGTTGCAAGATATGTCAAAAGACACTATTCACAAAATATGTGGCATTATCGACGTTAATGCTCTTGAAATCAATCAAGACGCAGAAATTTCTGCTCTTTACCCTACAGCATATTTGATGGAACATGATTGTCTTTGCAACACTGTTCATAGTTTTGACACCGAAGAAAATGGCTATAAGTCAGTATATTTTTTTTTGAGTAGCTTGTCTTAATTTGTTTATAGAATTACAGTGAGAGCTGCTTTACCTATTAAAAAAGGTGACCATATTAGTACCATGTACACCCATGCACTGTGGGGTACCCAAGCAAGACGCGAGCATTTAAAAGAAACCAAATACTTCTCCTGCATGTGCAATAGATGCAAAGACCCGACTGAAATGGGGAGTTACCTCAGTGCTTTAAGATGTTTGGGCACTGGAGTTGCCACTTGTGACGGTTATCAACTTCCAGCTGATCCAACTGATGATAAGACAGAATGGTTGTGTAATACATGTGATATCAAACTTACAAATAACGAAGTTTCGTATTTAATTAATCAAATTGGAGAAGAAGTCGATCATGTCCAGTTGTCTTCACCCACGGTTAAAGATTTGGATAATTTATTATCAAAAATGCTAACTTTCTTGCACCCGAATCACTACCACGTGTATTCAGTGAAACATTCGTTGGTGCAGTTGTATGGGTACCAACAAGGGTACACTCCTAGTCAAATCAGTGATGATACCGTCTTAAAAAAAGCTGCAATGTGTCGGGAGTTGTTGGAAGTGACCAAAAAGATTGATCCAGGAAACGCCAGGTTTATTATAATTTTTTACATACATTTTTTTTAATTATTTTTAACAGGTTACCCTTATATTCTAGTGTTGTTTACCATGAACTGTATCTTGCTAACATGATTATGATTAAAAGAAAGTGGGACTTAGGGATCAAATCAAAAGTCAAGTCTATGTTAGCAATGATTAAGGAATGTCAAGAGTGTCTTAGTCAAGCATCAGAAGTTCTCAAATACGAAACCACCACTCCAGCTGGTGATAAACTCTTGAATTTGATTGCATCGTCGAGGAGGGAGTTTCAGAATTGGATAGAACGGAATAAAATTGATTTGTCCAAAGAATGATTTAATAAATTTTAAATAAAAAAATTAAATTTCGAGAAAAGTTAGTTTTTTGCATAAAATGTTTAAGAGACATTAAGGTTACAAAATAACAGGAGTTCTTAAATTAAATTTTTTTATTGAAAATATAGATTTAGTAATTGTTATATAAAGTTATTTATATAAAGCACAAAGAGTATAAGTTAAATATTTTATATAAATCAAAATATAGTAGTTTTTTGTACATACATTTTCAAAACAAAGTTTTGGTAATTTGTATTAAAATTTATTATCTTATTTTATTATTAGGTTTTAGATGGGTATAAGGTGGATAAGTTAAATAGGTACGCAATACTAATATTTGGCTTCAATTTCTTGTACATTTTCTTCAAACTTAACTTTTGAATTTCTTCCTTTTCTATTGTGATTATTAATTATAAACGGATTCTCTCTTTCAAACTCATCGAATTCGGCTTTGGAAAAACAAAAGCAACAAATTTCCCATGTAAAATCTTTGACCACCTTTTTAACTTTTATCCAAACTGTCAACGTCTGGTTTAAGAATGTGTACAACAACGGATTAAGACAACAATTCAGTATATGCAGAGCCATAAAGGCATAATTCAAATACCAAGTCCACAATCCATACTCTTCAGTTAACGACAATTTCAGAATAAAAACGGTAAAGTAAGGCAATCGACAAATGATAAAAACCATCATTAAAGTAACCAAAACTTTAAACGTGCGAATTTTGCGTTCAACTCTTATGTCGCGATTTTTCCCCATGTGTTTAACAGTTTTCATTTTGACTTCAAGATGCGATGAGGAGTTTTCTATACCGGAGGTTTCATTCTTGTTAAACGCACTCGAAAGCGGTTTTCGGTGTTTCCAAACCAGAGATGCAATGTTGTAGTAAAACCACAAAAAAATCATCAACAGCGGCAAAAAAATTAGAATAACCATTATAATAAAATAGGTCTTCATATTGGCTTTATCGAAACTGACACAAACTTTAGCATCGACAAAATTAAAGAGATTTTGTTCAATGTCAACGACATAAACTATTGTTACGTCTTCTTGAATAAAGAAATCGTACATTGGGTACGAAATTCCGAAAATAATGAGCCACAAAATTGCGGTCACTGAAAGGCAGTGAAGTGGTGGAGGGTCCCAACGTTTGCTCAGAACATGAACAACGTTTCTGTAACGGTCCATAGCAATGATTACTAGTGCTGTAGAGCTTGCAGTGATTCCCACCATTTGACACATTGGAATAAAAGAGCAAAGAAATGGTCCTAAAGTCTGAAACAATTGTTGTTAAGAAAAAAATAGTGTTTTGCTACTTGAAACTTACCCAAACAAGCAATTCATGAGAGAAGGTTTCTAAATTGTTAGTCCCAATAACAATAGTGCTCAAAATATCCGAAATGGCAAGCGAAATAATACATGTTTTTTGAACAAACCGATATTTTCTATAAAAGTACAATAAATTTGTATTTTACTTTTGAGTATTGACAATTTTTACCTCTTACTGATCGAATAAATCGCCGCACAGTTTCCAAAAAGTGACACTACCAAAATTACAACATATATTCCGGTAAAAATGTGTCTTGAAGACGCTGTTAAAATATCAAGGGATTCCGGAAGGACGCAGTTACTCTGTTGGTTTGAGTTTTCTTTACTTTTGACTTGGTTTTTGATCATGCAGTCGTTGCTCATTGTTGGACAAGATTTGATCAACTGACCCAAAAAATGTAAATTAATTGGTTTATGTTTATACTCTTTTTAATCTGATAAAAGAACTATTGAATAACAATTGATCTCTGATAAAGGGTGATCTGTCGAGATAACATTCCCTCACACTTGATATTTTAATTGCTCTAATGTTGTAATTTGCAAAAGGATTATTTTTATAACATTGATAACAAAGAGTCGTCAATGAAGAGTCAACATGGTAGAGAGAGTTGCAAAAGACTATTAATTGCAGAAAGAGAGTAAAACTAAAGTAAAAGAATTGTTAAAAAAAACGTATCATCAATACCTATAGATACATAGTCAAAATATTGTAAATGCAAAAACTATTATTGTTTTGTGTCAAAGGAGGAAGATTTGTGTGCTTGACATTTGATAAAATCGCAGTTATTTGTCTCCTCCTTTTGAAAAACTATGAACAAAGCCAGTATTTGTCTTGCGAAGAGATTCTTGGTCACACCTACAAGGCGAAATATAATATTTCGGTCGGTTTTGTCACCAGCCCCATCAACATCTCACCTTTGAATGAATAAACTAAGTGGCAAAATCCTCTGATCCGTGCGTGAGAATTATGAGTCGAGCACACCTGGTCCATGCCACCCGCAATAATATAAATTATATAAGCCGCAACGAAATGATGGTACTTTTGACCTTTGATATGGACAGTTTCACGTTACAACAAAATAATGGATCGCTTAACGAGAGTGAAGGACCTCCACATTTGTTGGGAAATTTAAGAGTGTCGCTGGTATGATCGAACTGTTGGATGGCTTGTCCCTAGGTCTATATTTGCCCAGCATTTGCATAAATAACTCGGACGAAGATCGTTTAGTATAGTGTTTAGAGAATTGGCCTAGCACAGACGACATCTCATTTAAATAAATTCTAATGGAACAAGTTTCAAAAAAAAAATAATAATTTGCTCTAGAATTACTTTTTTACACTATTTCCTGAGTGTTGTTTGGTTTATTTTAATATAAAAAAACGTATTTGTGGAATATAACCATTATCCATTTCGATGGTATAACCCTGGTTTCATTACCATAAAATTGCTTCCAATCGATCAATCCGACATCCACATTTAGGCAAATTACCCCTCATTTGTGTTACCCACCCATCGATCAAACCACATCTTCATTACAATCCCCGACCGATTAATTCCCAGCTCCAGAAAGTGCTCATTACACGCCTGATGGGCCACTGTTACCTTTACGACCATTTTATGGGCAAAGCGACGCAAATTAATTACAATTCGAAGCAAAGTCCCGAGAAGAGAAAACGCGCGAATTTTGACCGCGCGTGTGGTCTCTTCTCATGGTCCGATGTTTTATTTATCGAAAACTCCGTCTTTGATTGATACACTTTGCGAAATTTCAGCCATATACAGAGACGGCACCTTGACAGATAAATCAAAGACGACGGAGTGTCGCTTTTTTGGAACACCGCAGTTGATTTTCGGAAAAAGGGTTGCAACAGAGTTGCTTTGTTTCAGATGCGACGAACGAGAGGATGAGTTTTGACACTTGAAATGAGAAGGATTTTGGAGGTGTGGTAATTAGGGGGGCCGGCTGGAAATAATAGCGAGCTGCCAACAAGGCGGAGATTAAAATGATCACGCAGAAAAAATAGCGAAGAAAAAAACTTTAGGGAGTATTCCAATGAAAATTAAAAATGTAATAACACTGTGCAATCTGACACTTTGTTGTGTCTTTTAGAAATGGAGATGTTGATTTACACAAATTATGTAGACAACGGTGTACGCAACAATGTAAATAAAAATGTAAAAAACATCTAAAACTTAATACAAAAATGACCTACAACTTTTAACAAACCTAATTATAATTAAACACAATTTAAGACAGACGTAAAAATTATGTTTCATCATAAAAAATGGGCAATTGGGTGGTAGTATTTCAACAATCAAGATTTCAATTTTTAAACCGAGGTTTATATAAGGTGTTTCTATCTCTGAATTACGTTTGTTGATACGAGGTTTAGCAATCATTGCAATTTTTTGACCAACATTTTATTTGTAAATAAAAAGTGGACGAGTTTATGTAGACTTGCTCACGTTTCAGGATGCTTTTTCTCTTTTTCTGTCTTGTCATGTCTTGCCATGTACCTACTAAATGCCCCCTGCATCCATTCTGACATCTTCCCAATTTCCTGCGTTTCAGGCTTCTCAAAAAAGTCACCGCCCCACATTGTTGCACTTTAAACAATCCGTGCCGCGTTTAAATTTACTCATTTCTCCTGAATGAATTTGTAAAACGGGAGGGGGCAGGTGAAGAAGCGTGCGGAGAGGGGACTCTAAGGACTCGGAGGCCGTCATGAAACACTATTGTAACGGGTAAGGAACCCGCTGAAAGAAATTATAAGCAGTGAGCTTTCAGGCCTGAAACTGAAAAGTGACAGTGGTGTGAGTGCTTTTTCGGGACGTTAAGGTCAAGGTAATCTAATTAGAGGGAATTTTCTGCTGAAGTCGGTAATGAGATATATGTGTGGCTTCAGATTAACAAGTGCGATTCTTAGGTTTCTGTGATACGGGGTTTTCCGGGAATATTGCGTAGTGGCGGAGTGTTTGATTTGTTTTTGTTGGTTAATCATGAGTTTTGCATTAATTAGGAGCTAATTTGAATATAATTAGTTTTATTAGGCTGGTAGTTGAATGGCTTAATTGGAATTAATTAGTTTAAACAAGTGAATATCGAAGTTCCCAATGCCGCGAGATACTCGCTGTTAACTAATTATTCATAATGTGCTTAATGAAATTAGTGTTTTATATTTATTGAAAGTGGTGGGACTTTAGAGAATTGATATCGTCATTTTCTATGTAGCAATATTGCATTTGTTAATTAATTAAACTTTTTAATCTACATAAATTTTTGTTAAAATATGCTTTTGTAATTATAATTACGTTTTACAAAAAATATTGAATCGGTTTTAAAAATAGACATTCCAATTGTAAGTAAAAATAAAAGTTTTAGTTAGTTTTGTTTTTTTATTCTTAAGGTTTAAAGTTAATTGTTACGTTCCCAGGTTTTTTATTAAATCAAGAAATTTTTGTTCTGGTTTTTGAATCTGATATTAAATATTATTAAACTCTTTTAGCTCAAATACATAGATTAATATTTTTTGCTTTCAATTCAGGTTGTTTTGAAACTCACCAAAAATATACACAATTTTAATCTAATTATTATTTTTGCTTTATTTTTATGGGCTACTTATGAGTGATAACAAGCTTTTTAATTATTCTTTACCATTGCAAGAAAAAGGAGATTTCAAATCAAGAATTAGTAATTAATAGATAATTGAATTATTTTAATTACGTAAAGTTTGTTTCTGCTGCATTAATTTTTCTTTCATGTTTTACAAAAAGGAAGTTTTTTATCATTTGACTTAAAAATCCAACAAAATTAAATAACGGGTGTTTATTTAAATTTGGCGTCATAGTTGGCGGTGATATGAGTGTGTTGTGAACGGACCACAATTTTTAATACGCACAGCGGGGTGTCAAATGTCATATTAATTTCCATACGAGGGTTCGTTCACAATCGAATTTTCATGGGCCAAATTTAAATAAACACTCGTTATTTACAATATGTAAAGTAGCTAATGTTATTATAACACATATATTGTTGCCACTTTGTATTAAACGTACGATTAAATTCAGGATAAAAAATAATAGGGGAAATGTATAAATAAGACTTTGAGTTCATTTAGATTGGAAGATGGTTTATTTATTCACAACTAAATTGATGTCTAAATCAAGCTTTTGCTACATTGGCACGAAACAGCCAATCAGCGGTGAGCCCACTGACAATCAATTCAAATTAACCCAATAAAATTTCGACATTTGTCACCCATCCAATAACAATACCGCAAAAGCTACACTTTCACCGTCATCCGGGCAAGGATAAACACTTCCTCATCGTTTCTATTCCCGTTAGGAATTAATAAATATAACAATATTTCAACATTAGCAACTGCGCATACCTACATACTTAACAACAAATCGGAATTTATTAACAAATCCGGCCTATTGTCATTCAAATGTATCAACAGGTCCGTACTTTCAGATGGTAGCCCGTATGTTGAGCACCCTATTGGTCCTGCACTGCGTATCGGTGTTGATTCCCAGCAGTTGCTGTCGCAAGAAGGAGTTCAAATTGCCCGTCCATCAAATCTACACCAACGATACCTTGCCCGCCGACCTCCAGATCACCGTGGATCTGCCCGCGGGCCGCAACAAAAGGCGAGTACGACTCTGTCCAGACGCAACACGCGTCGCCGTGGCCTAGGTCTAGGTCTTTTCGGCCATCTGTCGACTCTTAATAAAGGCGGCTCTGTTCGTTGTTTGGGTTTATTTGCACATTCGAGTAAATATTTTTAGAAGACGACGAGGTTTATGGGTTTGAGGGTGGGGGAGGGCTTTGTTTATGGCGACTGACCGCGATTTCTGCGGTGGACCAAGAGTCTCACAAATCTTAACACAATATTTGCGACTTTTTCTGTATAATTTATCAGATTCAAATTTTTGTGACTGCTTTAACTCTGCATCTGCATTCAGAGTAAAAACCTATCTTAGAATTTTGTTCTGTTGGTATGAAATTCGGGGCTCGACTTTGGTCTCAAACCTGCCTTTGTTTCCTCTATGTATAATTTATAATGGTGGCAGGTGACGTTTTTCTGCGAAACTGCCATTTTTCCTGTCCTTGTATAATTAACTTTAAAATAATTTCTTTTGAATCTGGTTCGGGCCACCATTAAAAGTGTCACTTTAATAAAATCTAGTGTTTGTCTCCCGACATCATAGACGGCCATTAAACAATAATATATCGACATAAGATGCCAAAACATTTGCGAAATTCAGAAAAAAATATAACGGTCGCCGATTAGCATTCGTTATTTCGGGCGACGTATTGAAACGTTTCAGACCGCAGCGAAACAATTAGACACTTTATGACCGAACGAAGACGTAAAAGTCTACAAAACTGCAAACGATTGCCATTTACATCACATCCATTATGCATTAGGCGAGAGATTTAGAGCGGTGTCACTTTGTGACATATTTAATTATAAACCAGTCGAAAGATCGATCGACAAGAATATACGTAATGTGAACGCAGATTTCTTGTCATAAAAAGTGGATCATCAATTGATGCGCAATTTACATTGATTAGATCAAACAGCGACAATCCGAGAGTTGTTGAAATTTTCAAAAAACGAATTATGATGCTTTTAGGAGAAAATAATTCTTTTTTAAAAAGAAATGTATTAAACGAGCGTATTGAACAATTCAGAACTAAAATAGTCAATGAGTCTGTAATTCTGTTCTCCAACATTAGCATTTGCCAAAAAATAAAACACCAATTAAATCAATTTTTCCTATTAAACAATTTTAGAGAACTTTAACATACAGACTGCGCCAAAACTCGCGCCCCAGATAAAAATGCCATGTAAGGTAAGATATAGCTTATTCCTTATCTGGTGGCGAACTGACAGTGACAGAAAAGACACTTGGTTAAGATAAAAAAATACATGGGCGCATGTTTTTCTCTAAAAATTTTGAAGACAAGGATTGTTAGGAATATCATTTTTGAAATTTTTTTTCATGTGTTAACAATTTAATAATTTGTTCATCACTCTTCATCTTATGTACGAGTACCTACTTATTATAATTTTTTAACGAATAACAGTGGTTTTGAAATATTATTTCATACGACGCCTATGAACAATATTTTTTTTAATAGTAAACATATGTTTAGTGCCAAAATCCAGTCATTTTTGACAACGTCAGTTCGCCACCAGATTTGGAACAAGCTCTACCAGAAAGATGGAAACAATGTTAAAAAAATTCTATCTATAAGAATTTCAAAATTATGAGAGTTAAATTTGACTATTTATTTCTCTTGTAAAAATAATTTTCCAAGTTTTTTTGCTACAGGCTATTAGAAGAGGAAGCAAACTATATCGTAAATTGTAACTCTGTTAATGTTATTTGTGGCTTTTATTGACAAATTTTTTGTAACTTTACTAAATAATTAATTACAAAAAAAACATATACAAAATTATCAGTATCATAGACATAAAAAAATGTCAAATGCCAAAAAATAAATGTCAAATTTTGGGACGCGTGTTCTGACACACTCTCTGTTTTTTTAATAACAAACAATTCTGTTTAGGTTTTTACTGATTACAAGTTAATTTATTACACTTTTAACAATTCTTTTGTTTTTCAATAATTTTAGCCAAATTTTAAAATAAAGTGAAACCAGAAGATAAAAAATCCAAGTGCAGTAAATTTTAATATTTGTGTTTTATAATCTCTTATTTTTTATTGTAATTTTCTAACAGCTACTCGTACACATCCCACACCGCCCACGGTGCCCTCTCCGTCACCCTCACGGCCTGCACATCCCCCATCTTGTGGTCCTTTGGTTTAGAGACTACCAATATCCTTCACACCCACTCCATGGACACCTACTATGTTCCAACTCCCACCAAGGGCATCTACATACTCACCCTTCTCGCTCAAGATGTCGACACTCTCGCCCACATCTATATTAGTACCGAACCTGGTGGCCCTCAAGCGCTCCAAAACGCCAAATTCTCCAAAGTCCGGCTGCTCAAGAGACATAAAGGGAAGCGGTTAACTGTGAAGTGGAATCCCAGGTATGTGTGTACGTATGGTTGGCTAGGTCAGGATCGAGGTGATTAATATGGCGAAATGCAGTCGCTTTAGCGATTCTAATTGATTTCGCTCTCTGAATCAGAATTAGTTCATTATGATCTAGAGATTTTTTCCGAAGAGGTTTCTCAAGTGAGAAAATTTATGGCGGACGTTGCTAGAACGCACGCCGATGGGTTAGTAATGAAGGGAAAAATTGTTACTATGTGCAACAAAGTTTCAAAAAAATTTTATTAATTTTTTTTTTTTCAGTTTGGTGGACCCTCAAGGTACTGACTATTGTCTGGTAGTGAGTAGCCAACCGCCCAAAGGGTCTCTATGTGCCTCTCAGCAGGACCCATCGCAATCTGTTACTTGTGTCGGTCGTAAAACTTATTACACTATCACTAATTTAAAACACAATCAAAAGTACTACTTTAGTGTCTTTGCTATTAACAACCAATCAAATTTTACGTACCCTTACGGTACCATATCTTCAATTTTTGATGGCCGAATCAGACACACAAGTCTCAAAGACGGCAAAACGACTTTTGCCAATTTGAAAAAACTCGACGGGAAAGCCGTTTTTCGCTACAAGGTTGTTAATGCAACAGAAAGTCTGGAGCTATTTGTTATTCCATGTGGAGGTGCTATTGAAATTGAAGTAACATTGAAGAACGCAACAGTGGTACCACTTGAACGAGTCAAAAGTTTTAAGAGAATTACTATAAAAAATCCGGTACAATTCGCCCGGTACTATATCAAAATTTATGCCCTAAATCGAGAAGAATTGAAGAAGACGTCGGGTGTTGAAGTAATTTAATTGAAGGTAGCTGGATTCACGGTTACGATAAATCGTTTTAGGTCTATGCAACTACTAGATTTCAGAAAAGAATTCCTTTACCAAACATGCCGCAAACTCTCAAAGTAACAGAATACAAAGGTTTAACCACTTGTGATAGTGTAACAGTAGCTTGGATGGCTGCGCCAGGGCAGAAAAGTGTCCATTATTGCCTTTCAGCAACAGAAGGAAAAATTCGTGAGATGGAAGAATACAGAATGCCTAATCAATGCGGACTTGAAAGTCGCTTAAAAAAATCAATTGACTTTGCTGTAAAATTTTGCACAGATGAGAAAAATCACAAAAAGTTGTGTATTGTTCTCTTGATTATTTCTTAATTTTAATATTTTATTTATAGGCCTGTGGTGTACAAAACTATAAATCAGCTAAAACCTGGCCGCAATTACATAATTCAAGTCACTGTCAAAAAACCAAAAGGAAAAACCTTGTCTTATAACCTACTCCAAGTACATACGAAGCCGTCCTGTAAAAGGAAGCACGACTGATTTTATTAATTTGTTCATTATTACAATTTCATTGATTCCTGAATGAGTCTAAATGTTTATTTATTTTTATTGATTTAATTCAGTTGTAAGTTTTATATTTTACAGAATAAATATTTTTGTAAAGAGTGTTGTTTACCGGTAGTTGTAAAAATTTATTAGAGACAAAACCAAGCGTGGGCAATTATGATATCTCCAATAAATAAATTAGATTAACGAAACAAGTGATAATGGGAGTACTTCTGGATAAGGACAAAGGATGTGACTGTGTCAAACATATCATTCGACAGATGGTAATTGCACGTTTCGATAGTCAGTGTCAATCAATTTTGGATTTTACTCTAATTAAATTGATTTCTAATTACGAAACTTTGGTATATTTAATTATTTTTATGTAACAACAAAAAAGTAAATCTAAATTTTTGATAATGATGATAGTCTGGGTAACTAACAGATTTTTAAAATCACATATCTTTGGGTGTTTTGGAAAGAAAATATTGTAAGCTAGTTGAAAGTCAAAACAACCTTATTAACTGTTGTAGACAGATTCTATTTTGATCATGTCAACCAGACGACTTTTCGACCTTCATTCTAGCAAATTTCTCATATCTGCCTCATTATCTCAATGTAAAAAACCGAACATAACAAATCACTGTTTCCAATATTTACACTTAGATTAATCCAAACTACATGAACCTTTATTAAATAACTGCCATTTTATCGTCGTGATTGTCGCAACGTGATTCACAGTACATCAGTCGTAGAGTCGTCCAAATGTCCAACTCGTTCAACAACAATAATACCTACGAAGACCTCATCCTTGTGTCTTCTGGCACGAGAAAGATATTTCTTGGAGTTTTTGTAGTAATCACCACTCTCTCTCTCACCGGAAACTGTGCAGCCATTTATGCCATCACTCGAAAGAACTATCGGATTTTCCAAAAAACATGCATCATATCATTGGCGTTGTCTGATATTCTTGGAACTCTAGCTATAGCTATAATCAACCTGAATACCTTCGTTCATGAGGCCAAAATTTGGGTAAGTTAACATCAAGTAAAAACAATATTTTTAGTCGAGTTGTAGCCTTTGGGGTCGTTTGCGTGCAAATTTTTGCCTATGTGTCAAATGGGAGGTGTCTTAGCTAGCTCTCTTGCCTTGATGTTTATCGCTCTTGACCGGTATCGAAACGTTGTCTATGCCCTGAGCAAGAGATGGAATCCTAAACTATGGTTGTGCTTACTAGTAACTGCAGCTTTCTGGTTGGGGAGCTTTGGAGCTTCGTTTCCTCTTTATACTTATTTCAGGACTTTACCTTATCCAACAGAAGACGATGAAGTGCTTTGGTTGTGTATTATGCTTGCAAACAAAGATACATTGCGTAACTACTATGTTATTATGGTTTCCATAATATTTCTACCACTTTTCATTATTTTTCTCTGGTTCTATTATAAAATCGCAGCTCTGGTCTGGAAACACCGTAAGCCTTTGTCATACATTTTCAAAAAAGAAGCACACTCTAATAACTACGAGAGTACCTCTTCCACAACTGAATTTAAGAAAAGTCAAGATGAAATAAGAGTCGAACGCAAAATCCGAACATTCAAAATTATTGTTACTTTAATGATTGTGTTTATTGTTTGTCGTTTGCCATATTTTGCTATCCAGATTTTTAGAACTGTAAAAACGGATTTGAATGATTCAAAAGAATCGTGGTATTGTACTTTTTCTTTCATGGCTCTTCATATTGTCAACTGTGCTTTGAACCCACTTTTGTATACTTTTCTTAATTCGACGCTAAAAGTTTGGTTTAAAATCCGAAATTTGGTTTGGGAGATTTGCTGTATTTGTTGCTCAACTGACGAGTTTGAGACTTTTGATAAAAATAATCCGTTTTATATTGAGGAGTACGAAAAGAACGAAGGTGGGAAAAATAAAAACACTTCCAGAGTCAGGTTTAGGTTTTAAAATTAATAATTTAACTTTATTTTTTGGATGGGAAAAGGTAGTAAGAGAGTTGCGTTTTCACGAAGCTTTATTTAATTTTATTTTAACATCATCAAAAACTAGGCCTACCTAAATATCAAATATCTATTTTGTATAATGTATGTACCTACATATTTATAATACAATGTTTCTTATTATTATGTGCTGTAAAATGCACATATTTAACACCTCGTACGTGGCAAAATAATTTGTTGTTGGTTACAACAACGAACTACTTTGCTAACAATCTAATTGTATACTGTGCTTCATTTTTGGTATACATTGTAATTATTTACTTTCGTTTCATTTTGTAAAATAAATCTCTATGGATATTGTTTTAAATTACCCTGTTTGAACTTGATTCCACTTGAAACTAAAGTCGTAAAAAAAGTACGAGGTGCCCGATTTTTAAACATATTTACTCTTATCTATTGTAATTATTTTTTTTTTACAAATTGCACCATTTACAGATTGCAACATTAATTTTTATACACAATTATGCCAGGGATACGTTCCTTTTTGAGAATTTCGAAAATTCTTTTATACATTTAAAAACGAACGAATTTTTCGAAAATATTGCACTCGAGTATTTATCGGTACTGTCTGGGGGGAGAAAAATCAAATACCCTGCATTTCGCGGATTTTCTAATTTTTCATTTGATATTGTCTATTTTGTGCTCGTGCTAAAACAATAAATAAATAATATTCGTGCTACTAAAACAAAATCTACAACTAACACGTGCGCTTTATACAAAAAAAAAACAACTAATTAAAAGGAACTCGTAATAAAATTGCTTGTTTGCAAAATAATTAATTAATAATACTTTGATAGGAATGTCTGTTTGTTATATGTACAACTTAACAATTAAAATTACCAGCACCATTTCTTTATTTTACTGTAGTATATTCTCTTGAAGGGCATGGAAGGACAAATCGGCAGAAACTGAGTTGTTCTTCCATGGAGTCTTTATTGATAAAACAAGGAACTCTGAAGCGCAAAATTATAAATAAAAGCGAAAAATAATACTATAAGTGCACAACCTTCGTCGTAAGAGAGGGAGAATCGAATAAATAAACAGAAGAACAGTGGTAACATATATCTCACTTGAGGACAAGACTGTCAAAAGTCGCCCAAAAACACGAAAAGAGACATTTGTCAATCCTGTCCTGAACTACTACTAAATATATCTAACAAATGTCGAGCCGCAGACGCGACTTGTTATCACATTTTATCAAGAATCCTAATTTACATTATTTTTCATTTTTTTAATATAATACAATGAGGGATCGAAGAAATGAAATCACACACAGAGATTCTATTGAAATTATTATCCTAGTGATGTGTCATCGAATTTGTTTGAAACTGCAAGTTTTTGAACTCACTAGTACCCTGCAATGGACGTAACGGAAAAAAATCCGAGTGATTTGTGTGCACCAAGCGGTGATGGTGCTGTAAACCGACTCAATAAGAAAATAGTTATCACAAAAATTGCTGTTGTCACGTTAGCGTGACTCGATCGAGATGAAAAGCGGTTAAATTTCCTTGCAGCCAAAGAGAGAAGATTTGTACATTGTTTTGTTGACCGTATACCTATAATGACCTAAATTTATACAATTTTTCACAAAATTTCTTATTAACACACCGAATTTGCTCTACGAGTTGAATTCTTATGTATACATACACTAAGTCAACACATAATTTTTGTACAACCGTTTTTTTTTTGGGTTTTATGTTAGTCTAAAGGCTTGTCCGGTTTTGAATGAGAGACCGCTTTTTCAATCATCTTGCCAAAAAATCAGGTGAGAAATTAGGTAACAATCACAACGTTGCGTCAACAAAGAATTTCATCAGTCGGTTCCAACGTTTAGTATCAACGATTAACTGCTGTAAAATGTATAAAAATCTGTATAATAGTCTGTATTACGGGTCAGGTTATAAAAATACTGAAAGTAGAGTTCTGTAGAACAAAATATTCTTGTTTTATATTATTTATAATCTGTTTACTGTACAAACTTGTGTAAAAGTTACTGTTACTAATATCGCAGCTGAAAAATTGTTGCATGTAGAGGAATGTTTAAACAGAAAACCGTTTGTATATTATAGAAATCTGGTATAATAAAAATCTGTATATTAAAATATGTGAGGAACTGTAAAGTGGTAGTCTGTAAAATAAACTGTTAAATTGTTGGAACGTTGGCAATATGATATATCAGTCTTATAAAAAACTCCGGGTCGTGGGGGCACGACCCGGCGAACATTCTTTCTAATACCGGAAACGAATGAGAAAAATGAGGAAGCACAGCTTATTACTCTAAGAATAAACATTTAAACAACAACCAACCGAAACAAAAAGAACCTTAAGCCTCGACTCGCGCGCCCTCTTTAGTCCTGTCCATTCTGCTGGACCAGCTCTCTCCTATCGTCGACAGAGAGCGCCGGAGGCCTAAACATCTCCTCCTCCTCCATCTCTTTCTTCACCCGTTCGTTCTTACAGTCGTCTTCGTTTTGTGGTTGGGCCCCGTAATGGTCCCTGCTCTTTTCGCTCTGCGGCAACAGATGGATCATACTGACCGGGATGGGGAAGCCCGTGCCAAAATCGGGGTAAAAGTTATGCGCAAAGGGGTTAAAAACAGGCGGTTGAGGGTGCTGCTCCTCGGTGCTGGATGGTCTAGTGTTGGGCTGGATCGCTTCGTTGTCCCTGTCGCTTTTGCACGAGTTGTTGTTGTTGTTGCCCATGTTGAGGATGTCCATCGAGGGCGTCGGCCCCCCAATACAGTCTTTGCGCAGCTGCTCCAGCTTGAGGCTCTTGCCGTATTTGCCTCGGACGTACATCAACAGTGAATTGTAAGGAATACCGAAGATGCGAGACGCCTGACTCGTCGTCATCTTCTTGTTCCACACGTGCTGGAGGGCTTCAGTCAGTTCGGCATTGGTCCAAGAGCGCGGAGGGCCCCCGCGGGGGGCCGAGTGCTGACCCTTGGGCCGCCCCACTAAAACTTTCGTTTGCAAAAACAATCACAAACAATCCGATACTTACTTTTTTTCTTGACAAAGAGCTGCGAGTCGGGCGTCGTCCGGGGGTCCGTCATGTCAAACAGGGGGTTTCTGCAACCGTCTAACCCCGGAGGAAAGAGCCCCAATGGCGAGTCCAATCCGAAAACTGGAAAAAACGCCCCATTATACATAACGTTAATTTCTCCCATCGGTTTGCATTGATGGTCGATCGGCGAGTACAGCTCAGTGAATAATTAATGGTTCGCGTGAAACACCGAGCTATATTTCTTATAATTATAACGAAAATAAAATTTCATCTCCATTTATAATTCAAACTTGAAAAAGCGTCTTTAATAAGTACACAAGAACTTATTAAAAATGGATCGGTCTTATTCAATAGGTGGCACCGTAAATTCAACTTTATTTCAATAAATCAGCGCGTTGTAAATTTTTAATTGGTTGAGGGGAAAAAGTAATAGGGAGTTGAGTAATATGGAAAGTCGGACCGCTGTTAGTGACCAATCGAAACGTCATTAATCAAAATCACGGGTGGGATTTTTGGAGAAATGCGAGAAATGGTAGCTAGAAGTCGGCCATTAGAATGGCTGGATCTATCGATCAAGCTCTCGATCATTAATCAATAATCTTACAAACCAAAAACTCCAAATTTTGTATCAAATATACGTAAAAGGACATTGTTGCTTCAAGGTGGAAGACTTACCATGACGAACGTTTCTCTTGATCACGTTTGAATAATAGAAATTAAATAAATCATAAAAAAGTAATAAGTAATCAACACATAAAAGTGTTAAGTTTTTTAATGAAGGCACCAAAGCATAAAATTACGCTAACATTGTAGTTTCTAATTTTTTATGTTTACTTGTTTTATTTTATTTACGATGGTTCTGCAACTTGAATGAAATGAAAATTTCAAACTACTCCTGCGAATTTACCGGAAATTTCAATGTGGCGTCAAGAACAGGCAATATACGTTAGAGTCAGAAGTTCAAAATCAGTCTTCTTAAAAAGTAGAGATTTTTTTGTTTAAAAACTGTCTTGGTCTATTATTTATTTTTTTGTTTCAAATATTCTCGTCTTATGCTATGATTTAACAGTCCTTATATGATTAAAAAAAACGTTTTCAAAATAGCATTATTTCTTATTTTAATTTATTTATAATTCAGCAACTGTTTCTTCCTGTACACAAACAGATGTAAAATCAAAACTGGGTCAGTAGTTCCATTTTACAATAAATCACAAAGCAATGTATGAATCAAATTTTTTATTAAAATTAAAAGCTCATATTGTGGTGTTTCTTTCTCCTGTTGCCTTCAAGTAGGTAAACAATCACAAAATCAAATACTACGTTATTGGAAAACGCTTGTTGAAATAATATCAACAAGTTGTCCGCTATTCTAGAATTGATTTTTTGAGTTAACACACGCTTAAAAAGTTCTTCAAAACCGCTTGAAGCCATCTATTTCTCTCCACACCTCGGCAACCATTCCACATACGGGGTGTTTACAAACCAATAAACAAGCAAACCTCATTCACCATCCATCACTCATCGATAATAACAATGCAGCAATATTCAATTACTGCATTTTCGTGTTGGTTGTATCACCCACCTCGATTTCCTCATTCTTTCAAAAAAACTTACATTTGCTGTGCGGAGGAGTCATCGCAAGTGCGGAAACCGACGGCATGGGTGGGAACGGTAGAGGCGAGTGGCTATCAATTTCTTGCTTCATGTTCATGGTGGGCGGCAGACTAACAGGTGGCGAAGACCTGAACTCCTTGGAGCCCCCGGTGGACATACTCAGGTCGATTTCGGGACTCCCCGACGGGTCAGGGGTCCGAATCTTATCCTCATCTTTCACCTTGTCTTCTTTCGGTTTCTTAACACTGAGATTCTCAGGAATGGCGTCTTCAGAAGGTGGCGGGGACGGCTTAGTGAGGTCCTGGGGACCGCAAAGCTCGCCCGACCTCCGCCTAGGCCGCGCTTGTTTCCGCCGGGGAATAGGAGACTGGCATTCCGGCCTAGGGAGGAGGGACTCGGGGAAGGAAAGACGGGACATATGAGGGAGCTTCACCGAAGGCTCGTAATTCGATGGACAGGACAAAGGGGAGAAAGGGGATGACCGCTCTCCCGGGGTCCGGACGGTCACTCCCGGCGTCGGAAACCTAAACCAAATTTTGTAAATTAAGAATTTTTGATTTTTAAATTGTTACCTTCCGAAGTAATTCCTGTCGAAGTCGTTGGGTGACGTCGACGGCGTCGGCGTCTGGTTAATAATCGACGTGGACTCTTTATCTACACCAAAAGGGTCCTGGTTGGCCAGGCCCCGGACTTGAAGACTCTCCGCCGCTTTGATCAGACTTTGGAGTTGCTCTTGGATCACGCTGATTTCCCCTTTGTACATGAAATCGACGATTGCTTGGACTTCCCAGCCGCTGAAGTCCTTGAGAACGATGACAGGGTGTTTGCAAGGGTTCTCCGAAAATATTCGTTGGAAGAAAGGCGAACACGCGCTGAGGACGACTTTGTGGGCACGCACGGACGTCTCGGCGCAGACAAGAGTGACGTCTACGAGAGTCTCAGCCTGGAGGAGAGCGTCGAAAGCCGCTAGGATGTGCGTCTGATGGTTGTTCCATCGCAGAGAGTAATGGGACTGGGTCATCGTGGAAAGGGCGAGCTCGTGGTCAGGTCCGAAAGTTTTCGTTAGATACTAACGTCAAACCGTGGTCGTCATTCTCTTTCGTCTCCTCCGGAATTTTGAATTTCTACGAAAAAAAAACAACATAATAAAAAGTAGAAGTAATATTGTTCGCAACTAAATAACATGCCCATTGAAATAAAACTACAGCATTCCAAGCACAAATATGATTATTGTGGACTATAAGAAATTTTAAATATAATCCTGATTTTTTTTTGAAAATACAAATAATTATAAAGTAAGTAATAAAAGATAAATTTTTAACTTAAGTATCTTATCACTTGTACAAATATAACACAATACTATTGAATTATTTACTGTATCAATATAATGCTCTAAAATGCATTGAATAATTCTAGTGCTTCCTATAATAACACAGACTGAATATAGAACGTCTCCATCTTAGGCAAAGTTGCAGCAAATAATGTATCATTCATGATTGATTATTCGATAACATGTCATTACGGTAGTGCATTAATATTGCTTCTAATAGTTGACGTTACGTGTAAGTTACTTTGTTAACTTGTAGTTTAATAACAATAGCTTTAACTTATTAATAATAAAATAAATTCCTAAGTGAATAAATCACTATGTGGAAGAGATACTATAAAGTTGAAAAATCGAATATAAAAAGAAACTACTCATAAGTAATAATTCATTATGGGGATTCATTATGAAGTGTTCTTTGAATAGTTATGTTAATAGATTCATGCTTATTATGAAACCAGCTAGTTACCATCACAAAATCTTCAAAATAGGCTGGTTAAGAATATATAATATATGTAATAAACAAAAACAAAAATTATAAGCCTTTACTTATTTTATTGTCTGGATATGTAGTAAATAAAAAAATGACTAATTTAGTTTTTTTTAACTTTTAAGGGCCAGTTTTATAATCAAATTAAAGGGACTTTAAAGTTAATGTTGGTTTAGAATGTGCTGATTGCTATGGACTTGTTGACAAAAATTTGACATTCTAAACCAACATTAATTTTAAAGTTCCTTTAATTCGATTATGAAACTGGCCCTAAGTTTCACAAAGTAAAGATATATTTTTTTAAATTTTGTATTAGTTTGTTCATCAGTAAATGTACCACGTCTTAATAAACCTTATGTAAACAATAACAAATTTACGGTGTCTCCGGATAGGCAAAACGAAAAACGATTGTCATATTTGCCACAAAAAAGGCACTTTAGTGGAAAATAGTTTTTTTTGAAAATTTTTAAGACATCTTAATTTTTCAAAACTAAAATTGGGTTAGAAATTAGTCTTTGACCAAGCAGAGCTGAACCCCAAAAAACAAGAATTTAAATGAACAGTTTTTAATCTTTACAAGAGTCGTTTCACCTATCCGGAGACAAAAAAATTTAAGATTCAAGATAGAAATATAGCATCGCAGAAAAAAAGGTAGAATCCATGTAATTTCAAATATAAAATTAATATTTTCTGCAGTATTAATTATGCTTGGAGTATATGTCAATAAAATAATTTAAAATATAATTTTCCCTCGTTCTATAAGACAAGATATTTATAGAGAATATCCATATCCAAAAAAGCAACTAAACTTTTCTTAATACTGAAACTTTGTAAATTCTCTTTGATCTAATTTTAGACGTTATAAACGCTACATAAAAAATGAACTTCTGTATGTGTGTAAATTGACTTAATAAAATATTGACATTGTTCTTTTGTGTATAACACATATTGACATAAAAATCTTGTTTGTTGAAATATACAAATTAGTTTTTCAGTCATGTAGGTACACGTAAATAAATGAATTTCATTTTTAATAACATCAAATTCATGATTGATAAACAGGTTAGTTGTATACAAACAGAGCTCGTTAAAAAGTGTGGATACAGTTATACATTATTGAAGTTTGGCTAACTTGATTTTTTTTAATGGCAAGAAGAGTCAAATTTAATATTTCTAAGAAGAGCATTTTTTCTGAATTCTGTAATGCAACACATGCTTACATTATTTTAATCGAAAATTATCGAACTAATTAAATTTTGAAAAATGTATTTTTTTTAGTCTTGGATATGTTGCCTCTATCTATCGTTAGCTCTTTGCCGCCTGAACTTTGACCAAAAAATAAGCAAACTGTTTCTCAAATTTCAGCGTGATCTGCTAAACCGTTCTGAAAATATTTAGCTATAACCATGCTTTTTAGCGACCCTGTATATAAAATCTCAATAAATGAAATAGTGGAAATCGAAGTTGAATCATTAACTGATATTTCCTATAATATAATGTTCACTATTACAAGTATAATACAACAAACAGTAATAATTTTCATAAACATTTTCATAGGTTTTTTGTCCTACTGCATGTGAGTCTAGTTTACTGGTTTAGGGAAATCCAACAATTTTTTCCTTAAATAAGATTTGTGCACCACGGCATACTTTTTTGCATATTTATTTTTAGTATTACACTGGATATTTCACGAAATAAACAAAAATTGGAAAATCCTGAAATAGGTCAATTTTTAATTTTTTGACATTTGATTACTATCAATCAACGTAGACGACGTTTCAGAGCTTTTATAGTAATTTCTCTGCTAGATCTTATTCTGCGTAAATTAAAAATACTCAAAACTCAAACAAAACACACAGCCAAATTCCTGATTAAAATACCCTTCATTTGAGGTATCACAAAAGGGGTAGTACTATTTAACCATTGAAAATTTTGAAGAGGTTGTTTGTATTACAAAAGAGGTTGATGCTGCAACTTTCAAAAGTTCACTAAAAGGTGTTCTCCTGTAAATAAAAATTGACCTGTCCCTGTATTTAATTTTATGAGATATCCAGGGTACCTCGTTTTAAAAAAATCACCTTGTATAGTCTTTTACACATAACAGTATTTTTTTAATAATAATTTTACCAGTCAGACAAAATATTTGGGTCGCTAGCAGAAGTAATAAAAATGTGTGTAAATCGAATCCGGTCGCGGTTCTGTTGCAGTATACACAAATCATGTAAACAATTAACCGATCAAAATTCATATTAAATTCCTAGAATAAAACTCATATGGCAGTAGTCACGAAGGACCGATCTGCGACATGCAAAGTCGAAGTCGCGTGCGTATGTGACATATTCGCGCACGTTTCTCATAATCGCTTATTAGGGGTCGATTCGATAACAGTTTCATAATCCTAAAAGTGCACAATCGATAGACAGTCGTCGGCGTTTTTTCCGGGATGCCGATTTTCACCCCGTTAACAAACATACAACCGTTTAATTTGCGGGTACGTACCGGTATTGTAATTACGGTATTAACTATTGACATTGATGATTTCAGTATTTAATTGAACGATCGATAACATATAAAAGGAAGATTATCATTTATTAAACGAACGGAGGTCTTTCTATTTTCGTGATGATTAACGGGAGCCATTACACATAACTTACCAACTTTACAAGCATACGACTTATTTACATATTTTATATTATCGTGAACACACGGAATCCCGTAATACACATAAATTAACGATTTATCAACGGGACTAAAGGGTTCGACGATAATTGAGACGCACTGTATCTTAACCACAATTAGGAAACAACAATTGGATTTGCCGAAACCACGAAAGAAACTACCAACACATGCACATAATTAATCCAAGAACAATTTCTTCCTTTAAATCTCATTGTCCAGAAATGGCGTCACACGTTTTAAAAAATAATTAATAATTAACTAAAATATCTTTGAGTTTATTTATTGACTTGTTGAACAAAAAGTTGTTGTTTTTTGATTTTAGGCTTGATGAATATAAATCGCAATTTTTTTTTGTAATAGGTACATATAAATCAGAAACAGTATATGTAATTATTATTATGTATATAAATAGATTAAACTAAAAATGACAAAAGTAACTTTTAAACAGATAATAATATTAATATTTCATTTTTAGATCATGACATTATTAACATTTCCATGTCGAGAATATTTTATTGTTTATTTTTGTTGAATTTTATTTTTACTGCAATCGGAACTTGATTAGCTTTCAAAATTGTGTTGATCCTTTCTACAGCGTCTTTATAAATGTATCATACTGCTTCTTCACTTTATTGAAAATACAGAGTGTTGGAAAATAAATATATAATATTCAAGCTGCGCCAGAACTCGCGCCCCAGAGAAGAAATGTCTTACTTTTTAAACATGTTCTTGGTATCTTATCTTACTTGAAATTTTTCTATGAAGCGCGAGTTCTGACACACCCTGTATAAATAAATATATAAAAACAACTAAGTATTAAACCTGCATATTTATTCTTCGACTTTGGCTTTTCCAGTATTAATATGTATTAATTAACTATACGCAAAGATTATTAATCGTTTGATGAATACCCTATTACTTCTTTTAATTATCTATTTTGTACAAGCTTCATTCAAATTTTGTAATTATTTTCAAATTTGTTTATTTTATTGTTTTAACAATTTTGTAATTTTCCTTGAAATATTAAAATAAAAGCTTAAAACCTTTTCGTTTTTACCATTTATTTATATCGTAATATATTTTATTGTTACTTTATTATTTCTAGTTATTATTACTTAATTACTTTGTAAAGTAATATTTGAAATTTTGACAAAGTTTTTCACGCAATTTAGGTGTTTCGTCAAACATGGTTATTTCCTCGTAAACGCCAAAACAAAACTCCTCCTCTGCTACAAGTCTTAAAGCACCCTTTCTTATACCCTCACTGAAACAAATAGACAACAGTAGCGTAAGACAAAGCGATTTCTTTTAGTTTTAGTAACCCAAATTTCCAAAGACGATTAAAAGGAAGAAACACTTTAATTACCTAATGATATGCCTACAATAATTGAAATAATAATAAATTAATTAAATCTTCCTCAGTTTTTCACACCATGCAATATTAGAAGCACCGTTTCCTCATCAAACTAACTGTACTTTTGCCCCGCAGGCGTTTAAACAAAACATACTTCATACTTATAGCTTTATGCACCCTCACTGCCGATAACATGTGTCCCCACTTTGAAAGCAAAGTTCGGAATTGCAGCGATGCCAAAATTTTATTATAGTTTTATCCTCATAAAAATATTTGA